GGCACTATGAAAACCAACTCAAAATGGCTGCTATTTACAGAATTGCCGAAAAGTGCTTATATGGGAATCTTGTAAAGTACAAAAGGCGCCTGTATGAAACTTTGGTAGAGGGCCAAAAGGCGCTAATACGAGGTAAAGGGTTAAGCATTTATTGCACTACATTGTTATATTTTTCCCAACCCAATCTGATTAAAATTAGATTTCTGCTGACCTACATAAAGATCTGACAGTGACCACTTAGGAGGCATGTTCTGGTGACTTTTGAATTAGTCATTGGAAATGCAGCTTTCAGAAATTAAGTGAATCAAATCATTTGACACAACTTGATGCTGTTCAGCCATAGTGCTCAGTCTTCCAAGCATGAAGAAATAAGACTTTGTCTTATTGGCTGATAAAATTAGAATTATTTTAATAACATATGTCACCAGAACATGATCCCCAAAGCATTTGCTGTCAGATCTTAACATAGGATAGTGGAGATTGATTTTAATCAGATTATTTCCAATCTGAGCTCCAACTAACTTCAACTCTGTCTTTAGGCAACAAATGAAACTCCCATCCACTTCCCAAAAACCAAACGTAGAAACAACTGTTACAATAAAATATGCACACAGCTTTAAGAATGAGTATATATAGAATTCATACAAAGAGTAGTAGTGAACATGCGTTTGATGTTGATTAAGAAGCTTTTTGAAAGTTTGTCTGTTTTTATAATAGGTTTTATGGAATTCCATAGTTTGTCTCCAGAGAAAGCAAAATTCTTTGTATAAAACTCTTGAGTTTGGTTTAGGTAAATATAACTTATTTCAGATGGATTTTTCTTCATACATAAGTACATTTTTAATAAATTTTAAGCTTCAAACAGATTTAAAGTTAAATTTAAGATTACCAGGAGCCGATACACGTAAGTATTGATAGACTATAAAACCCTTTTGAAACTGAGTTCACTTTTGAAATTAAAGCTACTTTAGGATTTTAAAAAGACTTGTTAATAGTGTATCTAAATCAGTATCAGTAATAAGTGTAGCTACTCTTTTTTGGAAATTTCATTAATTTTTTTAATTTTTACCCCAGATAAAACAACAATATTCCAGGTGTGGCATGATATATGATAGAGCTAAACAATGGAGATAACTCTTAAAATGCTGATGACCTTTACCCTAACAAAGATTACCTCTGTTCATGAGATAGATATGATTTTTTTCTGTTAAAGAGATAAAGCGAGGAGTTAAATTTTATCATGACCATGTTAATTTTCATTTTCCAGCACAAGATATCATGATGCCAAGTAGTGTTTCATTTTATTCATTCATTTTATCATTACTTTGAAATCATCTTTCTCAGCTTATACTTTTGCTTGACTGTCTGTGCTCATGGATTTTGATTAGTTCCATTTATCTTCATACCAGCCTGCTCACACTCTTAGTTACGAAATCTTTATTAAATTATGTGCTAATCTCATGGACATTTGATATATTGCTATGTAATATTGTGTCTTTTGCTGACATGTTGGTGGTGGATAGCTCCTTGTGATATGATAAATCATTGATGTACAGCAAAAGGAGTAATGATCCAAGAACAGATCCTTGTAGAACACCTGACCTCATCCATTTCTTATTTGAAAGTCTGTTTCAAGATAGGTTTAAAATCATGTTAAGCTTTCATGGTGATGTATGCTGATCTTTTCAAGCATGATTTTGTGATTTACAAGGTCAAAAGCCATTGTAAGGTCAAGAAATACTGCTTGCAATGTTACTTTGCTCAATTGTGGTTACCAGTCATCCACCATTCTAGTTAGTGTTTTCCAGCACGAATGTCCTTCATGAAGCCTGATTGTTATAAATGTAGTAAAGTATATGATTCCAGTATGTTTTCGGCTGTCCTACATGAAGATTTGACAGGGATTGCTTAGAGATGATATTCTGATGACCTATGCTTTAATAATAATGATAAGAAGAAGAAGAAGAAAACTGACTTAAAGATCAGCTCATTTGTTCAACTGACCAATTTTGTTCAACTGACCAATTTTCCATGTAACCTTCTAAAATTACATGTGTACATCTATAATACAGTTTTTACAAGAAAAGGTGCCTTTATACAACAAATCCTGTTAAAAAATTTGCAATTGATCTACTGCTACAATAAAATATCCACACTGCTTTCAAGACGAGTACATACAGGATTCATACAAATGGTAAACGTGTGCTAAACATTATAGGTGAATGCTTGAAATAACAATGTTTTAAAAATACTAGTACTGAATTACACAAAATCATGTAAATGATTGTTTCTTTAGATATTGACTAAGAATATTCTTGACCGCTTTACACAAATCATCTGTTATTATATCAGGTGTTATGGAATTCCATAGTTTTGCTCAAGAAATGATGAGTTTCTTGCATCCTTCATTGCGGTTGTTCAGTTAGGAATTGTAATTTTCTTAATATGGTGACATTTTGATGATCTGTTTTGGATCAGATTGGTTGCTTTAACAGCATTTTTAATATTGCACTCGGTATGAACTCACTCATAATCTGCTTCCACAAATCCATGTCTATGCAGTTTGTAATCAGTGAACAATTCAACGACCCCGATCTGCAGGGGACATCATGCAATGGCAGATCTAAGTCTGTATTGTTTGCAGTTGAACCGGACTTAAAAGTGACTATATATGGTTTTCATACCAGAGAAATGGGAGCTATGTGCTATTCACAAGGTTGCCATGGCAGCCAGTTCTGTAGTTGGATTTTAGCCCACAAAGTTAAGTTGTAAGGAAATAAGTTTTTCAGGGTAGTCATTTCCAAGGTAATCTTTGTTAGGGTAAAGGTCATCAGCATTTTAAGAGTTATCTCCATTGTTTAGCTCTTGAAGAATGAGGAGAGATCATGTAATCATGCAGGTGTTTGCATTGGTATCTATGTCTGCATAAAACCTTGGTTCTGGTGGGTTTAATACCATTTATTTGTCAACACATTATAGGCAATACATGATGGACAGTATAAATGGTGGAAGAAGAACTCTCCTGTCCTCAGAAGAATCACCAAGCCACAGGAAGCTACTGGCAAGCTTTCTCACATATCCACATTGGCTGAGCCCAAGACTAAAACCAGTGTGGACCATAGTGAGATGACAGGTATTGGTAAAGGCTTCAGACCACTTTGCTACTTGATACCAGAACACCTTGGTTAGTTTTGGAAAAAGATTTTGTTTACCTATCTTTCATTTATTTTTCTGGTTGGGTTGGTTTTGATGCTTGTTAATTAACAAGATATTAATATATATTGGCCAAGAATAATATATGTTTTTAATTCCTTTCTATCTCTCTCTCTCTCTTTATATATATATATATATATATATATATATATATATATATATATATATATATATATATATATATATATATATATATATATATATATATATCCTGGATCTTAGCTTCATGTTAAATTTTTTTTTATACTATTAGCTTTGATCAGATTACAGAATTCTGAGGGTGGGTTTGGTGTTGGTATAGCATTCATATAAGCCAGATTAGAATTTACTACATGTCTTTGACTTCATCCAATGGTCATGGAATTCTTGTCTGGAATTATTGGAGAAATATTACACTTTAATATTACATTTTGTTTTCCATGATGCAGTTTTTATGCTTGAATGATACTGTATGTGACAATATTTTAACTAGTCTTGGTCTGTAGTCATTAAAATTTACAATTAACAGTGTTCATTCTTTCTAGTTGTTCTTTTGTCAAATGTTGTACTGTTTTACAAGGAATGTGTGATGCTTTGTCTTGGATGTATTGGATACATCCAGGATACAAAAACTGGCACAATTTTTGTTTTAAGTCAGCTTCTATTTAATACCATATGATTAGGTCACAATGATCTACTTTTTAGTGATTGAAATCTGCAATCATTTCTCATTACACACTGAAAGTTTTGCAAGACCTACAAATTTGTGGGAACTTCTTCATGGTCCAGATCACATAGGTCCTAGGGGCAGGGGACACTGATTTCCCACCCTCCAAATTTATGACTTTAGAGAAGCAAAGAAGATCAGAAGTACATGGTGTACTAATATTGCTAAAAGTTGAAATAATTATAGGTGATTGTTTTTAGAAGGGAAACTATGATTGTTTTTTTTTTAATACTGACATAGTACTGATCTTGATATGCTTGAAAATTTGGGTAATCTGAAATAAGCTGGAATTTTTTAGTTTAAGATCTTGTTGTTATTTGACATTTAGTGCATGTTCATTATCTACCACCATTTATTATAATAAATACCCATATTTTCCTAATTACATGTATTAATAATAGCAAATCATGTATTTGCATAAATTTGATCATTTCAACTGCAGGATAAATTAAATCCTCCTTGTCTGGGCTTTAACTACAAAAATGTTACCCTAAAGACCTGTATTGCCCTTTTGTTCTTTAAGCCAATTTGCAGCACACAATAAGCTACACCTGGTGGCCAATATAATTGGTAAAGTACATCAGTACAACTCCATTAAGAACCACTGATCCATGGGAAGCCTCCTGCAAGCTTTCTTACATAACCATATTGACGGAGTCCAAAACTCTACTAAGCTGGATAGACCTGGGATGACCAACAGGTAAAGTCAAGCATTTTAGACCACTTAAATGCCTGGGGTCCCTCACTAACAGCAGTCAATCACTCCTAATTGCAACTTGGCTGACTACAACAAATCTGAAGAAATGGTTTCATTGCCAGATTAATTATTATAAACTTGACATGTATGTCATCTTGTAGTTTTTATTTCCTTTTTGTGTGTTTTGGAATTTTAATGAAGCTTTAACAATTTTTCTATGGTATTGCTACAGTGTCTGCAGTGTGATGGTTTATAGTGATGTCTAGCACTGGGTCAGCATCATGTCCCACCCAGTCACATTATCCTGACACCAGGCCAACCAGTCCTAACACTAACCTCTTAATGCAAAGTGCCTAGCATGGCAGCTGTTAGTACCATTTTTAAAGACATGGCTGGGGTTTGAACCCATGACCTCCTGCATTTGAGACAGATGCTTTAACCACTCAGGCCATCAGAGCAGTCTATTACTTTTTTTTATCTTTGGCCATTGCTAGATCTGGATTAACATCCTGTATGAAAACTTATTGGCAAATTTTTTTAATTTTTTGTCCTGACAAATTCTGTCAGGGATAAGATTTTTGGACAAATAACTGCAGGAATGCAGTGACAAGATGCTCATAGTGTATTACACTGGTCAAACTCAAAGCTGTTGACTTTTTTAGTGAAGCTCTTTTAAAAGCTGTCAATAGACTAATGTGTTGAATGACCAGCATATTTGATATTAAATATGCAAGTTAGTTGTTTCATTACAGAATTCTATGTCCTTAGGAACTAATACTTCTGTATGCAGTAACAAAGACTAGAGTTAATCCTCTTCTTTTGTCAGGAGACCAACTGAATGTCAATGATAATAGACCTGTTGTTAACAAAATAATAAAATGACACAATTTGAATTCCTTTTTATGGCTTTTTGTAAAAAAAACTTGACTAACCCAAGTCAGTCATGCTTGCAGACAAATCACTTATGTACAGTACTCACTGCTTTGAAGGATCCCAAATTTGTTTTGAGAAAATTAACTGTAGTTTTATTCTTTGATATATGAAAAGCTTTGATACTGTTATACAGTTTTACTAAGTAAATTATCAGCATGTAATGTGATGGTTTTTCATCCAATCTCAATAGTAGATTACTGGTTGCTGTGAGTTTGTCTCTGCAGGAATGGTGCTGTCTCAGATTTTAGGGATATTTTTTTGGGTATACCACAAGGACTAACACTAAGCCCTTTCTTTTTTATAGGATAGTGTTATGTACATTTAATTTGTGTTGTTTTTCTGGCTTTTCTCCATGATTGTATGTTAAATATATCTGTTATTTATATTTGACCTTCAAGTAAAATAGGTTAATGGTCTACCTGAATAGTGACAATTATTTTGTAAACAGCATAATACATAGCTCATATTTCTCTATGATTATAGATTAAATATTCAGGTCATTATTAATGGAGATAAATGTTTTGAGTCAAGGACATTAGTTTTTCACATGGAAATTTTTAAATTTGTTGACAACTTTAAATGTTTTATAAAAGAAACTGACCTACATACTGACTCTACCATTGTGTCTTGGATTTTTATGTCAGTGATGTTTGCTTGAAATATTACTCACTCCTACCTTAACATCTGATGTGAAATCAATCTTATTGTTCTGTGCAGTTTATAGTTTAAGTGGATTTATTTTAATTTTTCACTAGAATTACAAAGTTCTTGTTAATACTTGGTCAAAATCTTTAATTTATATTAGTGAATTCAGGCAAGGATAATTTGGATTATATCATTGTGATACATCAAAAGTCTGCTAACACATCAACACATTCCAGGCCATTGACACCTTGGACATTTGAGACTATAGGCACATCTGCACATTCATTATTGGAATTTGTTTGCAACACCACTGGAGTTTAATTGGAACTCGATACCTTTGGACTTGTGAGAGAACTTTTAGGACCATTTGGGATTTAATTCACAATTTTGTTATTCTTTTTTTTTAATTTCCACTTTTTATTCATTAGAAATAAATTATTTGTTGAATTTTACCAAATTTGTTGGTTTTTACTCTTTTCTGTCAAGACTTAGGCTCTGTAACGTGGTTATGTGAAAAAACTTGTCAATAGCTTCTCATGTTTCAATGGTTCTTCCCAGTATTTTCCAGCACTGGCTGCCATGTGTAGCCTATCTTGTGCTGAAAAATAGCATTAAACATTGCAACAACAACAACAATTTTGTGTTACTTTATGACCATATATTCCTAACAGTATATAAATAAATTATCCAAAGTTCTAGAAACATTCTTCAGCGATTATGTACAAAGATGATATATCATAATTTGTTAGCAATAAAGATATTAGAATTGTTGGTGGCCTAGTGGTTAGAGTGTTTGCCTTGGATGTCGGAGGTTGTGGGTTTGAACTCTGTCATACCAATGACTTATAAAATGGTGCTTGCAGCTGCCTCTATAGACACTACATGTATGTATTAAAAGGTTAGTGTTAGGACTGGTCAGCCTGGTGTCAGTATAATTGGACTGGGTGGGACATCATGCTACAGTATGTGGCATTATAACTCAGTTCATGAAATCACTAGAAACCCCACACTGTTGACAATGCAGCAGTATGACTGTAATGCTTTAAAAGCTGCATTAAAAATTCAAATCACACACATACACACATACACACACACACACCCACACCCACACACACACTAGAATTGTTGAGAGCAAACTAAACACTTAGTAAAAGTATTTTAAGATAGTAAAACTTTTAAAAATGATTAATTCTTTTAGGATTTGTTTTCAGTTGATCTGAAAAGTGTATAATGTAGTTGTTTTTCCACATTTTATGACTTGCTTTTGGGAAAACCTTGACATTACTCTAATATGCATAAACTATGTAACTTATAAAAAAGATCAACCACTGGCAGTACCTTTGAGCACCTAAATCATCTCTCTTCAAAAATTTTAAATGGATTCTTACTTAGGACTAGGTTTATTAACTTTACTTTTAAGCTTTTAAATAATTAACACCAGGTGTTTTAGTCTTTGTAAGTTTGTATTGCTCAATGTCAAGTGCAAAGAGTGATTTATACACAGTATGTAGGTTTTAAAAAAATCTTTTGCTTATGGCAGTTCCATTTTATGGAATAGTTTGCTGCATGATATTAAAAAAGCACTTAGTATTTAAAATTTTAAGACAGTATACCTTCTTCAATATTTTATTGAGATTTATGACCACATAATAGTTTTTATGTCAAGTTATAAATTATACTAAAGTTTTATTAAGATGTCATCACTGGTTTAAAAGAAGTACACTAAGAAAGTGTTTTTGGTTTTGAGGGGTTTAATACCATTGTTCATTGGCACTCAAAAATTTTATGTTTTTGAAATTTTTAATAAGGTGTAATATAGGTTTACTGTGGGAACTGAATTTATACCATGTGTCTTGTATATAACACAGTCTATACATGATCCATAACTGGCTCAGAATTTATTCCAACACTTTCACATTTCAAACAATGTACTCTTGACAAGGACACAGGTAGCCGAATTATATTTTCCCTTCCCATGATGCTGACCATTTCTTAAGACAGGGGTCATGTTTGAAAGTACTTGAAACACCATTTTATTATAATATATACCCAAAATTTTATTAAAATATCTTTAGTGGTTGAAAAGCTGTTCTATTTGTAAGGATACAAGTCACAATTACATTTTCCTTTGCATGTCCTTGACCTTGGGATGGGTGGAAGTATAGTGATTATGGTTTGCAACACACCAGCTATGTGTATATATTTGCTGAACTTTCATTTTAAATTTAAATTTAATTTAATAAGTTGCACTTCTGACAAAAATGCCAGTCACAGAATGACATCTTTCATTGTTGTGACTCTGAATGCAAAGGTAGGGGGTGTGACCATGATATGCAACACACCACCTGTAGTTCTGATTGATATATATATATATATATATATCTATATATATATATATATATATATATATATATATATATATATATATATATATATATATATATATATATATATATATATATATATATATATATATATATATATATATATATGTGGGAAAGGTTTCATGAATATTTAATGAGCTGAAGAAGCAGACAGCAGGATGGACAATTCCTAATATGGACAACTTTAAACAGGGATATAAAACTGAGCAAAAGTATTATGAAGTAAATAATTTGCAAATATATCACTTTAAGAATGGGCCCTTAACAATAGTTTGGTTTTATTGGCATTTTTTCAACAATCAATGGTAAAAGTAAAAGCAAATTCTATACATTGCAGGTGACATGCTAAATTCCTATTCAATTTGTGCCACTGCTTATTTTGATGCCATCACTAGTGCTATGCTGTGACTTGATTGCAGCTCATCATTCAGCAAGAGAGAACAACTACTTTTGATAGAGGCCAATTTTCAATGTATGCCATAACTTATGACTGCATCTGTGGTGCACATCAAGAGTATCCTGTATTGTTCAAGAAAATAGTCTTGGATCCCTCAAGTTCTTTTTAGCTTTTAACAGAACTCTAATGAGGATAGCACCAAATCTTGACAGAATTGTTGATCCTGGTTTTAAAAGAAAAATTCCAATCATATCTGCTGGATGAATTAGGTGAAAATTGTTGGTGTGTCAGATACCTATATAGACATGCTACAGAAGCTTACTTGATAGAGCATAGGATGAATAAGCCATAGGTAGCAGGTTCAATACTCTCCAAGGACAGCCTGGGTGGGCTATCTTGGTGTATTCACAGAAAATGCACTCTCAGCTCCTATTTCTCCATCAAGTTATAGCCACAAATGTGCTAAAAGCAACATAAAATTAACCACTAGATTGATGTGACTTCTCCAAGCAACATCAAGGCATAACTTGGTCACCTTTAGTTTATTTGCACCGACTTATTCTCACCCCCCCCATATCTTGAGTAGGCATATTATTGTTTTAGTTTGTCATCCAGTTATAATGTCATATAGTTACCATGGTGTAACTACTGTAATGATTGATGATTACTTACATCTTGCTTCAGATATATAGAATGCTTGACCTAGAATCTGTGAAAGTTATTGACCTCTGTTTAAATCAAACATAGTCAACATAGACTGATGCCAGTAATGGCTCTAAGGGTCACATGTTGTCAGTGATGAAATCTTTGACTGTTTGTTATTTGTTTTATATAAAAATGCTTTTTTCTATTAATTACCTTTTATCTTTTAGTAATGAAGTATTTATTTGAAAGTGTTTACCATCCTGAAAAGTTTTATATTTTAGAACTAAACTTTTAATCATGTTTTTTTTTTACTTTTAACCTTATACATACCCTTCATGCTTGATTTTGTGTAATAAATATCCCATAAATTATATTGAGATAAAAACAGGAACTTGATTTTGCTTGCATATTTTCTTTAATAAAATACCATATATGCTTTCTTATAAGTCTTATATGAA